TTTGAAAATAAGTAATCGGTAAAGTAACGGGATTACTTTTTGGGGGAAGTAATCAGTAATTAGTTACTGATTACTTTTTTCAAGTAACTTGACCAACACTGCTTATCATATTAGATGATCAGTTCCTTCGCTTGCCCATATTAATATTATTATTATTGCAAATATATTGTGCACACAAAGTGCATACATAGTCTACAAACTACAATGTCCAATGATAACTACAAATAAGGCAGTGAAAGAGACATACAATATCAGTAGGTCTTTAATTTAAAAAAAAAAAAAAATATATATATATATAACATGGATGGACCAGAATGCATTGAAGGAAGAAGGTGCACAGCAATGCGTTTACTTAACTGAAACAATTCACTGAGTGAACTCACAGCTCAGTACATCAGCTCAGTACATCCGTAGAAGGCTAAATCATTAAGGATGTGTGCATAGAATCACAGCTAAAATCAAATTATGAAGGCAAAGATATAATTTCAAACACCTTATCAACAAAATGTGCAGCCAGAAGTGCCACGCTGTCATCTCAATGATTTTCTTACAGAGGTGATTTTCTTTCCTTTAAAAAGTAAAATCACTTTATATTTTGATATTTCCTGCTACAATTGAATCAAATACATCTGGCGTGAGTGGAGTATAATTCCTCTCTTTTTCATTCAGAAAGTAGAGTGGGTCTGTTATTTCATTTGGGTTGAAGCCCTGCTCCACTGCTTTCGTCTTTATTAGCTTGAACGTGCCTGTAATGTCCAGTGACCTCTGTAATAAATCACAGTACAACCAATTATTAGTGAATAAAATAAATCATGCAAGCAACAAAGAGGCTTAACCACAAATGCAAAAAAGTGTAAAATAACTGGAGTAAACATACTTGAATCCTCAGAAAGCGTGGCCTGGCGTAGGACGGCAGGAAGTCCTCGACATGTTTAAAAACAACCGTGGAGTCAAACTTCAGTCCATCCATCAAAGTAACAGCAGCCATCCCGGCTCTTCCCTCCTGGCCTGAAGACAAAAGTTAAACAATCACAAAACAGGAGTTAACTGAAGTTCAGTATTGCTAATTAAAAGTGTCAGTACTGAGCAAAAGTCTTGAGCCACCACTCATCTCTTCATATTTTGACTTTGTCAACTGTTCTTATGCAATAGTTTTCCAGGCTTCCTTAAGATCTGTCAAACTCTTTCTTTAGACATTGGCTGCTTTCTCATTCATTTTTAGTCCAGTTCTTATCTCTGACCATTTTAAGAGGAATGTTTTTTTTGTTTGTTAAGCCATATGACTGTCATGGTCCTCCAGTCCTCCTGTGCTGGCTCCCCATTTCTCTCTCCACTGCCCATCTTCTATCCTTTGTGTGTGTCGCGTGCATAAGAGAGAGAAAAAAATACACAGTTTTTGATACAGGGACAGGTCATTCCTCTGCATCCTGTCTTTTAGTCCATCATGCCTGTGATGATGAACTCACTTGTTGGTAATCCTTTAATCAGCTGGTCACTACTTAAGGAGAAGGAAGGCGTTCATTTGATGCCTGATTGTTAAACTGGATGCAGTTTAACAATCTCTTACCTGACAACTTGTAGGGCTGCGTTTGTAAAGCTTTAGCATATTGTGTTCTCCTCTGTGCAGATTTTTGAACATTCATACCATAGCTGGACTGGCCATCGGGCATTTGCCATATTGGCTTAGTTTATTTTTCTTATCATTGTTGTGAGGAGACCATAAATAGCATTTGTATTTTCTGTTGTACAGTCCATCTGCTGTTATGGAGTTCTTCTTATGGATAAAAAGTGTCTTTTTTTGTTTCAAAATAGCTGATAACCATTCGCTGATAGCGGCCAACATCCGCAAACAAATATAATTCTATAAAGTGGTTCTATATATTGTGTAACTGCTAATATAAAGCGTTATTAAATTTATTGCTAATGCAATCATATGGCACACTGACTTCTGAGGAAATTTTAAATGGCACTCGCCCTCAGAAAGGTTGCCTACCCCTGATGTAAAAGATGGATGAAGCCACTGATGTCATCCAGTGCTCTTTGGACTGTTTGTTTTATGGAGATAAATGTTTAATCTCAGTTTGCTGCTCCGTTTGGTTAACCCTCATAATGTCCTCCCGATTTTCATACACCTGTGGTCCTCAGGGACAAAAAAATGACCCAAGGACAACACAATTAAAGCTTGCTTTACCTTTTCTTCAGCAGCTTCTCAAGTTGGTTATGGTCCATTACATCACAGCCGACGGCGTTTCCTGGATCGTGTCATCTCCTGTCCGGTTCCCGTGGTGGGCTTAGGTGTCCAAAACCCTGCTCGCTGCTGTTTTTTTTTTACATCTTGGGAGTCGTGGAATAAACCTTTTTTGCGCCTATTAACCTGGGCTTTACAGACAACTTCTACTCAGGCTCCAGCTCCAACGAGGACTGCTCTAATAAATCCGCAGTCCTTAGCAAATAGAACGTACATTATAAACATTTTTTTTTCTTCCAATGAATTGAATCTCCTTTTTGTTTGGGGAAACCTGCAGTCGGCTGAGACTGAAGAAGTCACTTGGGTAAGTGATGAAACGTTTCTCCCACAAAACGCTAC